AAACGTTACACTTCCACGGCTAATGTCATGCATGCATTTAGACTGAAAATGGCGAACCCGAGAAACGTATGGGCTCTAACATTTTGTGACACGTTTTAACATATTTTTTACATAACAACTTAATTTAAACTTCAAAAGTTATAACGCGTTCTGTCCTGCCAGCCGATCCATCAATTCGTTTAATTTATTAACGGCAGAGAGCACATTCCACTTTTCACGTAAAACTGCATATACAGTGTAATTCATAACAAGGATATCAGATGGACCCAGTGGTCAGAACGAAACTCTGGGCGTCTTTACTGCCGGAGAATATCCATCCTCAGCCATTACACAGGAAATATTTTGAGACACAGTAATTTACCACTCTGAACCTGATGGTGAGAATCCCAAGCCCCAAATGGAATCCAAACCCTGGCCGTCTGGCCCGTGATCCGCTTTAAACTTAAAAATGGCAACAGAAATCTGATACAAGGCGAACAGAGGTGATGGAGGACGAGTCGAAAATCAAGTATAACACAAAAGCCCAGTAATGCATCCCAAAAGGACTAATAACCATTATAATATGGAGTAACTGGAACATTCAGTATGAAGATAATTGATTTGCTAAGTCCATGGCACAAGAGCTTCCTTGACAAGTTGATACTTATTTACACGGTCGAGAAATTTTCATATTTTATGCTACAGAACCCGACCGATTATTAGCTTATTCATTGAACCTTATCACGACCCAATTGGCACGAGCACAAACCTTCACACACTAATTCTTTCAAACTCATATAAATGCCATCCTCCCATTTAAATTGAAGCCTGCTAAATGGTATCGTTCGTCGAGTTTTAACAATCATTATGTAGCACTTAATTATGTTATTTTCACCAATTTTGTTACTTAATTTCTACTACGTCCATAATTCATTCCAAAGTTCTGTATTCAAACACAGAATTTATAAAAGATCAGAATAGGAACTATCATATACAAAGTTCTGTACCCTGACACACCAAAATAATGTGTACAGGAACACACAAAGGAATTACTAATTTCGTAGTACAAGAAAGTGGCCGTTGATTGCATAGCCACTTGCCGAACAAACTCTTGTCCAAAATAATGGATCAGCAATATATTCCAAACAATTTCAGTTTCTTTACGTTCTACTCAGCATATATACACTCAAGAGAACACCTCATATTTTATACTGCCAAAGAGTTAAATTGGACAATTGTTCTTATGTTGGCTCTGGTATAGAGCAACATCAGCTGATTGTATCACCTTATTTTAGTCTTTCATACTGCATACTGGAGAGTAGCCATACATTACTCACTGCTTGTATCTCCATCCGCATCTCTGTCCGACCGTCTGTATGTCTGCTTCATTATTCGGCACAGAAATATTTACGTAACGCAATCAGGCCCCAGGTTCAGCAAGGTAGTTTCAAAAACACCAATTTAATTTATTTCGGAACGTCAATAACCTACAATATAAACACTAACACAAGCTCCATCTTCCTTCGCCCGGGGTGGGTTCGCAGTGTAACAGCCAGATCAACCAACTCTCGGATCGTTGAACGAAGGTAAAACCTTACAACACTGACATACGTACACGATGCAATTATACTGTTACACAAAAATACAACTGAAGGCTCAGAGGAGCACCAAAACGCACGTGTGACTGTCTCCCGGGATGCTAGACGATGTTTCGTAGGTGCTTATTACCTCCATCATCAGGGCTATACTTGTCACGATTTATTGCTCACTTCCTCAACATGTTCAGTCAAGCACCAGTATCTCAAGTTTAATTCCTCATTCATTACCAATTTTACAAACGGAAACGGGTGAAATATTGTAAGACCAACCAATACTTTATAGATATAAACATTTCTACAACTTCCCAAGAGAAAAAGAGAAAGGATGCAAAGAAGTGAGAAAGAATAACGTGTAAAATAAAACAAAAATATAAAAAAGGAAGGAGTCGCGTCATATCTAGCGGAACAAATCGATCTCTCGTCACACGTGTAGTGAGGTTGTTGAGGAAGGTCACGGCCCTCGTTAACCCAGCGCGTATAACAGACAGCCTCGCACCTAACTCTGCGCGGGCTTCAAGTTACGAACACGAAACACTGGTGATAAAGCATGTTAACTACAAGCAGCAACGTTCGTTTTCGAAGATCGACAGATTCTCAAATTCGACGTTACATGGAACGAACAAATTAATTACTGTATTCACAAAAGGCCATCACTCTACCCTATTCCACGTCATATTTCTCTAAGACCCGTTTTAAAATTACCCCCCCGCCCCCCAACAGCGCCCAGATCTTCCAGAAAGCATCTCCTGGGTCCCCTCTCGTGTTCGTCACGTGTTGTCTAACTCACCCTTCTGGATTTAATCTCCTTTATAATATTACGTGAAAATTATAAATTATGAAGTTCCTCATTATGCGACTTCTCCCATAGTCGTGTTATAGTCATATAGGTTACATTACCCTTACTCTTACCATTCCTGAGGAATGAACGTTTAAAGGTGTCTCGGCGCTGGATCTTACACATCTTCGTAACTTAACGCTGTTTTTGCCGAATGGCCCTTCCGTATAGACGTATTTACGTCAAAAGAAGACAAGCCTAATTCTCTTACACGAGTTCAAAAATGCAGATGAAAACACTAAATGTGACGAACAATAATAATGAATAGGAATCCCTTACCTCAAACTTTGTTCAATTGTAAGAGACCACGATGTCCACCGGCAATGATCAATTTGATAAGAACTAAAATGGAGAGAGTGGAGGGCAGTATCACAGATTTCTTAATAATTCTTATATAAGATAAGTAATTGTGCACAATATTATCTACTCTACGACGCACTTCTTCACAGCAAAGCTCTTCCGCAATAACAAAAGCGTATTGTTGACGGCAGTAATGAAACACGAAGCCGAATAAACAGATGACATAACAATTAGTTTCTTAGGTAGAGTAAAGCATTGTTATGAACGCAGGAGTTCATATAAAAGCTGACCACTGTCGGTCCATATTTACACACTGTTGGTATGGATCTTACACATTTTTCTAACGCTGTTTTACCGAATTACCCTTCTGTATAGACGTATTTACGTCAATGAAACAAGACGAAAAGAATGGCGAGAGACAGAAAGGAAGTTAGAGAAACGGAAACGGAAAAAGGATCAAGAAGAAAACATATGAAACCACAGAAAACAAAACAAAAGGGCACACAGAGAGAAACGATTAAAGAATAGGAGACCGCTGATAAAGGCGTGCTGTGGGCAACCCTGAACTGCTGAAAGAAGTAAAGTAGGTCGTCTAGTTGCAACAGCCTCGAGAAAACGCAGTGACAACTGAATTGCACTAAACGCCGCACCAGTTAGCACCAACTGGAAAAACTGAAGGACTGGCACAGAAGTCGGTACACCGATTCTCCTTTTGATTCCCTTCATACAACAAATTCATAGCGGCAGATTTGGAAATATTTGAATTTACATGCAGATCGACGCCTGTCTACTAAAACAACATTTGCCAATCATTTAAAACACGAAACAACACAAAACGGCAGTTTTACGAATACAAATTACAAACACCAGCCCTTGATAGAGCTTCGCTGTGTGGTGCCTACTCTCACTTTTGATGCTGGGGCGAAGAGAAATATTTCCGAAGATGGCTGTATTCTGGGTTGTTGCGCCGTGTAGTATGGTAGAAGTTTACCGAGGTTTCAGAGGTCCTTGCTGCCTCCATTATCAGGACAATGAGTCATTCACTACATTTAGACTACACGGTGCAACACCCCAGAAGACATCCATCTTCAGACCCACCGAAGTGAAAACCCCAAATACTACACAGAAATATTTCTGCTCGGCCGAGGGTCAAACCCGGTTGTTCAACCCACAGACAACCGGTGTACTGAGTTATCAGTATTGACATAGCAGTAGTGATACAAAAACCACAGATAACATTGCTTCTTGTCCGGTGCCCATCAGACAATACCAACAACATAACAACATGCTTCTTGCTCGCACAAGGAATACCAAGGGTAGCATTCTGCTTCACGTCCAGTTAAATTAGTCCTAAGTCGGACTTCATAGAGCATTTAGTAACCTCATAGGGCGTTTCCATATGTCAGCGAAGGACTGAATGGAGGTGCACAAAGATTATGCAGATAGAACAATGCATTCCAACTACTGCTGCTATCTCAATTACCATATTTAAACGAGGCATTGGCAGTACTTTGTTTCAGAACAGTAGAGAGACAATGTGCAGAAAGTCACGAAAAGTCTGACACATAAGTGAAATCCACTCACACTGTGGAACTGATTAATTTATTCTGTAACCATTTAAAAAGGTTGTCATCTACTCCGACCGGTTTGAAACAAACGATGATTACACTTTGCTTAATCGAACATTCTGGAACTGAGGTAAAATATAGGCTACATTTACACAGTAATTATTAATAGGCCTACACTTAATTTTAATTTCCCAGCAATTTTACTTCAGCACATATTAAGCCTGTGTTTCAAATTGCAGCCACTTTCTACCATAGCTGACCACATACATGGACCAAGTGTTTAGCAGCAGAGACACGCGTATGGTATCAGGCCTAAAGACGTCGACGTTTCGTCTTTCAGAGCACTAAGACGTGCGGCCAGTTGTAAACATTGGAGAAAAACCTACAATATTGACCAAAGTCACTAGTTTTTAACCTACGATTTCAGGATTTCGCGGCGTTAGATGCAGAATTTGGGGCATGGTACAGTGTAAAGCGGTACCGTCGACGTTTCGGAGATCCGTATTAACTCAATCTTCATGGCAAAGAGGACAATCGGATTGTCTTCAACAAAGGCTACATATACTGTGTGTCAGCACCCAAAAAGAGGGGCTACTTCAACTTAGAAAACCTTTTCACAAATCCTAAAACAATCTTGGTACTTAGAGCAAATGACTGGCTGGCTTCACAGTCAATCAGGTGGAGGAGTGAGTACTGTATAAGAGATGTAATGAACGTTACCTTTAGTTTTTCCTTGTGCTGTCCTGTGTCCGGGTCAGCAGGTTGACTACAACCATGTGTCTGGCAGTACAACTGCTGACCATCCATCTGTTGCCGCCTGAAACAATATAATTATTACTATTAGAAAAAAATATATACGAATTTAAGATGGCTGTCTTCTGGGTTGTAACGCCGTGTAGTCTTGTAGAAGTTTACTAACGTTTCAGAGGCACTTTCTGCCTCCATCATCAGCGTCCAGCTGCTCATAAATTTTCCGTCGAACATGGGACCCGAACGGTCCTCACAAGAGCCTTGACCCTACCCTAAAGCAACATGAATCCACTCCATGCCCTTACATATTATTTATCAAACATCCGTATTAATATTCCCCTCCCATCTAAGACCAGGTATTCATCGTTTCTTCAGCAGTGTAGCAGCCCTAATCCCCAAAATGCACACGTTAAACTATAGTAAAAAATAATATCTAAAGTGGCCACGGATGTCAGGTGACGTCAATAGCTTCTTGGCTTCGACTTACAACTGATACATTCTCCGACAGAATGCAAAGATTCAACAAAGAGAGCTAACACAAAATTCTGCCACTTCGCCACATTCTGAAGATGACTGTTTCAGAGGGGCAAGCATCTCTGAAACGTCGGTACACCTCTATCACACTACACGGCACAACGACCCAGAAGACAGTCATCTTCACTGTCGGAGCTGTGAGAACCTTAAATCTCACATACCAGTTTCTGCCTTCCTAGAAAAGTTTACAGTTCTCAGCGGGCCAAGAAACACACATCTTGCAGAAACTACGGTTGCAAAAACGCACAACTGGACCCCTGTCCTTGGCAACTGAAACAGAGTCCATACCCTTATAGCCTGTATTTCTGAGATCCATTTTAACAGTACCTTCCCATCTATGTCTAGGTTTCCCAAACGTCTCTTTCCTTTATGTTTTCCGAAATTACGTAAGCAATAACATCCAATATTTCGCGCAAACTCTTAACGACAATCAAATAAAAAAACTTTCAGAACTCCCGTCAGTTTGAAACAATTATGGCAAACTGAGAACAGCTTTTGCTACATAAGGTCTGTTCCGTATCTGTCAGCAGCGAGCAGGTGGCAACTTCAAATGCAATTATGTCGTCATGCCATATAAGAAGAAGCAAGTCTCGGTTTAGCAAGAAATTCTCTCCATCACTTCTCAGTTTCAGATCTGAGCGGGTTTAATTTAATATAAATCTAACATCGATTCGTGACATGTAGTACAAATATGATTTCGGTCCTTTGTAATAGTTTTTGTATTTACGACTAAGAATCGTACTGAATAAATACAATTTAATCATAAAACTCTTACAGGCATATATTCATCAATTAGTATTGTATCGCTTCCTAGTAATTTTGGAAAGAAAATCTACTTGTTTGCACGATAAAAGTTAGAAAAAAGTAACGTGCTCTATATCGGAAAAAATCGAAGATCAGCGAAAGCCTCACAGTCACAAAGGACGAGGCAAATATCTGGCTGAATAAACAAGAAGCCAACAAAATAATTCCATATATCCAATCGTCCACCTACCAGTATCCATTTATTCATGTAAAAATTAAGTATTCATCCATCCAAATAACTTCGACAGCGTATTATCTGCCACTACTCCGGATGTTCGCGTTTGTCCGCTTTGAATGTTTTCTGTGGCGATATGATGTTCCAGACACGACGTCTTCATAAGAACTAAAACCCAGTGACCCAAAAGACTTATTTAGTCCTTTAAAGCCTCAGCTAGTCTAAATAACATTTACTGATTCAGTCCATACCGCGAAGAAAACACCACATTTTACCATTACAAATTTCGGTTGGTTAAAGCTGTTTAATGAAGTAATCGCCAAGACAGTGAAAATCCTATAAAACCCACAAATGCAAAAATGAAGTTACTGGTTGATGATGAAGTTGGTACATATAGTTACCACTGGGCTTAAAAGTGATGACAGCATGTAGATCTGTCTGGATGGTAAGCACTGAAATTTATAATCCAATCACGAGAAACTTGCAATGAATTACGACCTATGTACATAGCACATGGCGCTTGAAACAGCTATGCACGCGTGCGCAATGCACGACACTGGAATAGAAAGCACTACGCACTACAGAGAAGCCGACAGATGCCGGCGAAGGGGACAATCACTGAAAAAAGAAAAACATGTGTGCAACGCTGTGCGCTCAGTATGGGCACAAAGTGTTAAGCTTGTAAGCAGAAAAAATGAATAATAGATTACATGTAATAAGATCATAAAATCCAAATGACGACAGACTAAGGAGAAGAACGCAGAGAAGTAGACACCAAATAAAAAGTTTGTTTGAATTTTTGCTCTCGTGTTACAGTGTAAGCAGGGGGCCATTACCCCGAAATGTTCTAACGACGTCATCAGGCGGGGGTACACCGCAGTTCCCACGACGAAAATCATTCCACGGCTGCTGGATGCGAGTGACGTAACACAGGAGACGCTCCAATTACTTTGTGCGGGGAGGGGGAATCTCTGAACAAGGCACCGACACCTCGCTCACAGATCACCGGAGAATCGTGTTCTGATGAACCAAGAAGCAAGGAAAATGAGCAAAGAAGGAGACAAAAAGAGAAAGACAAACATTTAAAGAAATACATCTGATAGACAGAAAGACAAACAGATAAAGAAATACGCATATTGTTTCACACAATTTGCTTGTTTAACTTTGCGCTTTATTTCGGCTGACAGAGATGTTCATGCGGATTCCATAAGCTGTGCGCTTCAAGGCGCCAATCTCGTGTACTTGGGGTGTTCCGACATGCGTAACTAACAAACACACAGACGAAACATCGGCGTGAAAATACTGGGAAGTGGCTACCTGTACTGAGCGAAAGAAGGAATGTTACAACAACACCGACGTGAGAATCTCAATCTCGCATAACTGTTAGGTTAGGTTCATGAGCGAAAAGCGGAAATATAACAAGCAGTAAAGCAGCACACTTATTCCATTTCCATGCAGAATCATGATGAATGTCAACGAAACAGTGGACCACGAACTAAACGACAATTTATTGTAATGACACTGTTTAGGAACAAAGCGGAGTGCGTCTACCGATGGACAGAACTGTCACAGAAGCCCGTGTGACAGACAAGACTGTGGTTGACTGCCACTTTGTCACGTCCCTCCCACACACCACCGGTTATATTCGACACTAAACAGCGCGCCTAATTAGGGACAGACAGCCTCCTCTGCTCCAGTGGCGGAAATGTAAAGCCGCAAGGACAATGCGTGAACGGAGACAATATCAAGATGTTCACAACTAATTTAAGGTAGTTTGCATGTCGTCAGGATTATCCTGACTAATATTCTTTATCGTTTACGTTAGCTTGTAATCCTGGGGTCTCGGGTTCGATTCCCGGCTGTGCCCGAATTTATAACTTGTGTTGGGCAAGGCAACACGGAGTTTTCCTCCGTGGCATCCCAACAATTACTCCATTCACACACAGAAGAAGGCAATGACAAACCACTTCTGGATCATCTGCCAAGAACGTATATGAACAGGTCCCAGTCCGAGAAAAGGATGGAAGGATCCTGTTCATATGGACCTGTCGTCAGACAGAACACTAAAGAAATAAATGATGGCCACGGTGGTCTAGCGGTTAGAACGCTGGCCTTGTAATCCTGGGGTCTCGGGTTCGAATTTATAACTTGTGTTGGGCAAGGCCGTGGTCTAGGCAACACGGAGGCTTCCTTTGTTCAGTTTAATAAATTCCAAAACTGGAATTAAAAATTAATTTCTTATATCCAGACTGTTGTCTTCCGGGTTGTGACACCGTATATTATGCAGCCCTGAAGATGGACACATTATGTATCTCTGTAACGTTAGTATCTACATACGAGCATAACCCATAAGAACATTGTAATCTTCACTGCCGTGAGAATCTCAAATTATGCACAATTATTCTTGTATGTGATTTAAAATTTTCAGACGAAAGAAATTAAAGTCTTAGATTCTTCACTTGCATTGGTAATGGATGAAGGGAGATGTTAAAATCTCAGCCCGGGGATAGAACAGCAGACCGATGGCTGGTTATAAGAGCGTTTTTAAGTCCTGCATCTAAATTCAGTCACTCCAAGGCCGTCTGTATATCTTTGTTCATTTAACGACACTGTATGTATTACGTAGATTATATATTTTCAAATGACGAAAATGATTATAAATCATGTACTGTGGCGAAATTGCCACGGTGGTCTAGCGGTTAGAACGCTGGCCTTGTAATCCTGGGGTCTCGGGTTCGATTCCCGGTGGTGCCCGAATTTATAACTTGTGTTGGGCAAGGCCGTGGCCTAGGCAACACGGAGTTTTCCTCATTGGCATCCCAACAATTACTCCATTCACACTCAGAAGAAGGCAATGGTAAACCACTTCTGGATCATCTGCCAAGAACGTATATGAACAGGTCCCAGTCCGAGAAAAGGATGGAAGGATCCTGTTCATATGGACCTGTCGTCAGACAGAACACTAAATAATAATAATAATAATATGCACAACGATGTTTTTATCCTATTCGATATTATCGAACATCTGCAACTGAAACATCGTCGTTGAAGAGCGATAATTAATTGCACGGACCGCAGATAAAGACCCGGAAGAGGATTTGAATTAGGCATATCTGTTCGTGTGGCGGAATAAATTAATATTCGACCTAATGAAAAATCGACGTTGAACCGAAGCATCGGAGAAATACAAGAGGGTTCTTGATTGATGAACTCAACTTTAGGACAGACAGAAGAACGCTGTAAATGACTCTTCATCTCAAGTTGACTCTCAGTGACTTCTTCCAAGCAGTCGGGCAGATGTGAATTGATTAACTGGTCGGTGCTTAAGCGACAACTAATTACATAATATTGTGTAATTCTTAATGACACATGATGAAAAATGATAGTATGATATGAATGCGTGTTACGTGAATCCAGCTGTGAAAGAAACCTATCATGACACACCAGCGGGTAGGCCTAAAGCTGAATTAGAAATTACATGTTACACTAGAAATAACACCAACGAAGTAATTTTTTGTTGTTGTTGTTGCTAAATGCGCTTCGTACTTAGAGCA